GCCCCCTACTCTCAACCCCCCCCCAAAGGAACGTGCAATATTGAAGCTGCCACCTGAGCTGGTGCCAGGGAGCAGTTTAGGCAGAGCAAAGGGCAGTGGGGTGGAAGGAGCCAGAGCTCTCTTCTGGGGGGAGGCCAAGGGCCAGGGTGCAAGGGCCGAAAAGGACTGGGCTGGGCACAGGACCTTCAGCTGACCCCTCGCTGCCACCCCCAAGTAGCTGCCCTGGGAGAGAGAGCCTGGCTCTCTCCAGAGTGGTGGCCAGGGGGCCCCTTCCCCCACCCCCTGCCTGCTCAACCGAGAAGGGTGATCCCTGAACTGCCTCACTGCAGTGGATGGTTGATGGCCAGCGCAGCATGGGAGGGGGCTTCATCCATGGCTCGGGGGCCTCTGGCTGGATGGGCCGGGTGGGCGCAGCCGAGACCTTGCAGAGCAGAGCTTCTCCCTCCTCCCTCAGCTGCTCTTCGTCTTCCCAAACATCATGCGATGGATCCCAGGGCCCCACCAGAGAATCTACGCCAATTACCTGAAGCTGGCCAAGTTTGTGGGCGAGCGGCTGGAGATGAACAGGCAGACCCTGGACCCCAACTCCCCCAGGGATTTTATCGACTGCTTCCTCATCAAGATCCAGCAGGTATCGCCGTGGCCCCTGCCCGGCTCTGCCGAGAGGGGAAGGGGCTTTCTCCCGGACCCCCAGGCCCAGGGTTCCTCGGAGGAGGCCACGGGGGTTGCTGCATCTCCATTGGGGGTCTTGCACCCAGGGCCGGGGAGCCCTGCTGGCTCTGCTCGGGCCTCGAGGGCAGCTCCGTTGGGGGACAGCCAGGCTGAGCCTTCGCTTCCCAGGCCCTGCTCGAAAAGGCCCTTCGTTGTGGGCTCTGATTCCTGAAACCCGCCAGCAAGATCCCTTGGCCTCAGTTTCTCAACCAGCAAGGAGCATCTTTGCAGCTCCGTTAGAAGGACCAAAACAGGCTGGTTTCTGCCGCCTTGCAGGAAAAGGGCAACCCCAGTTCTCACTTCAACAAGGACACGATGGCAAAGACCACCGTCAACCTCTTCTTTGCTGGCACTGAGACGGTCAGCTCCACCCTGCGCTATGGGCTGCTCATCCTCCTGCGGCACCCCGAGGTGGAAGGTAAACGGGGGGGGGGGCACAGATGAAGGGGGGCCCTGCAGCGTCCGAACACGTGGAGGGAGGGGACAGGCGAGGGAGCAGAGGGCAGAAGGACAGGCAGCCCCCTTCGAATCCCTCCTCGGAGGGCTCCTCCCCTTGCCTTTGTGGCTCTTGTGGTGACTCCGGAGTTCTTCCGGCAGAGAAGCTGCACGAAGAGATCGACCGGGTCATTGGGGACAACCGTGCCCCCTGCATGGACGACCGGAGTCAGATGCCCTACACGGACGCCGTCATCCACGAGATGCAGCGCTATGCCAACATCGTCCCTATGGGGGTGCCCCACACGGTCACCAGGGACATCGAATTCCGGGGATACAGCCTCCCCAAGGTTGGCGAAGTAGGGAACCTGGGCTGGGGGTGGGTGGGTGGGTGGGCTTGGCTTGGGCTGGTTTCCCAAATGAGACCCACACCGGTCTTCCCTCCAAGCCCAAATGGCGAGGATGCCCTGAGCAGAAAGCACTCTGCACATGCCTGCGATGACTGTGCTCCCCGCTCAGTAGGGGAGAGCTGGGCTCACCAAGGCTGTCCCCTTCCCCCCTCAACCCCAGGACCTCAACGTCATCCCCTTGCTCTGCACCTCCCAGTCTGACCCCACGCAGTTCAGGAACCCCAACGCCTTCGACCCGACCCACTTCCTGGATGAGGCCGGGCGGTTCAGGAAGCGGGAGGCCTTCCTGGCTTTCTCAGCAGGTAAGGGGGAAAGCGGCCGTCCCGCCAGGGTGGGCAGGACCCTCGCCGGCTGCTCTGGCACAAAAGGGAGGCAGGGAGGGGGCCAGGCTGGCAAGGGCCCCGGGGGCCATGCGCTTCCTGGCACCCTCCCAGGAGCGGCCTGAGGCAATCAGGGGAGCCGCTTCCTCCAGACCACAAAGCCCATGGTGCTCAGCCAGCAGGGCAGGGTCGGCGGGGAGGGCGGGGGCGGTCCAGGGGCTCTGGAAAGAGCAGAAGCATTTGGGGGGCGGGTGCCAGGCTGCCCCCCCCCATCTGCCTTTGCTGGCAGAGGCGCCAAGGAAGGCTTCTCCCCCCACAGGCAAGCGGGTGTGCCTGGGCGAAGGCCTGGCCAACATGGAGGTCTTCCTCTTCCTCACCACCATCCTGCAGAACTTCCGGCTGAAAGCCCTGACGGAGCCCGCAGCCATCGACCTCACCCCCGAGTCCACCGGCCTGGGCAGCATCCCCCGGCCTTACCAGTTCTGCCTCCTCCCCCAGTGAAGAGCTGCCCCCACCCCGGGGGGGCCCAGCTGCTGTGGGTTGCTCGCCTGCCAGATTGCCCCCCACCCCTCCCTTTGTGGTGCTGCCCCACTTTCCTCTCATCCCAGGGCTGCCAGCCTTCCCAGCCAACCTGTCGCCCGCCTCCCCTGTCCCTAGGGGCTCCTCTGGAGGTGCTTGCCCAGGTGCCAGGGGGTGCCAGGCTCAGCTGCCTCTCAGGCCCTGGGCTACGTCTGGCACCCCAGCAGGCATTGCCTCGTGCCGGAGAAGAGGCCTCAGGGCAGGAGCCTCAGGAGCAGATCCAGGACGGAGCTGGGGGCTGCCACGGGGGTCTTTGCAAGGCTGAGAAGGTTCTGCATTAGGGAGCCCCCCCCCCTTGATGCCATGTTTTCTAGGGAAGCACCAGGGGTGACGATGCTGAGCAAACAGGCTGGTTACCAACTGGCAGAGGCCGAAGGCACTTCTGGGAGGGGCCTTTCAGAAGAGGGGGGGCTGGGGAGGTGGAGAAGCACGTCCAGGCATCCCTCAGGAAGACAGGCCAATCTGCACAGCGCCTGTCCCAGCCGGGGAGGGCAGCTCAGCCGCCAGATTCCTCAGTGGGCCAAAGTAGAGCTGGTGGCTTTCAAAGGGGTCCCCTCTGCCTCCTCCCCAGGTTGGGCCAGCCCTGGCTTCCCTAACCTCAAATCTTGCTGGCTGGAAGTCAGGAGAGGCTGGAGAAAGAGAAGTTTTGGGCAGCCTGTGTGCGAATCCCACCCGGATTCCCAGCCCTGGTTCTGAATGAAGAAAGTCGGGGGGGGGGTTCTTGTGTGTGCTTGCTTAGCATTTTATTCAGAATATTTGTACCCCACTTTCCAATCCCCGAACACCCTCAAAACAGTTTACAAACAATTCTCAAAGATAAAAGCTCACTGGAATTGATTAACAGAGCAGAAGAATCTGTAGAAAAGCAGGATTATTCCAGGCCCCTTGACCGCCCTCAGCCCATTTCTGCAAGGCAAGGCCCCCCACCCCCCAAACCAAGTCAAGGACAGGAGCAGGATGGGAGGGTGGGGGGCTGCCCCACTTTTTCTACAAGGGAAGCATCTTTCGGAGGTGTTGAAAACTGTCGGTGTTTTAACATAAAAGCATGCAATTTAATTTTGGCACAATAATGGCACTTCTCTTTCTGTCCCTCTGCGACCTTCTCCCGTTTCAGCCTCACCCACCGGGCCTGGTTCTCAAGGGCCGGATCAGCCGAGGAGGGCTGGGCGGGTGTGCATTGCGGGCCCTTCAGCGTTTGCTCTGGCTGTGCTTCCCTTCTGTTTGCCTTTGGGGCCCCTTGCAAGAGAAGGCCCGGCCAAAGCTTTACGGTCGGATTCAAGTTCAAGGCGCCAAGCGGCTCTTTTGTGCTCGCCGTTCCCCGAGTCCGCAGTCCCTGAAGCCCGACGTCGCCTCTCATCGGACGAAGGGCTGCAGAAGCGGCGGCGGCGGCGGCGGTAGCCCCGGGCAGAGCCTCCCCGGATGGCGGGCGGGCGGGCGGGCCGGGCTGCCCAGAGAAGACGAGGCCGCGCTGCGCTCCCTGGAGGCGAGGCTCGCCAACCGAAGGGCAAGAACGAAGCGGCGCCCAGGAAAGAAGCCCCCTCCCCGCCGCAAGAGAGAGGAGCGGCTCTGCTGCAGCCCGGCTGCTCCCGCTCCGCTCGGCAGGGCCGGCCTCAGCGGGGGAGCGGGCGGCAGGTGTAGGGCCGAGGCACGTTCCCGATGCCGCTGGCGAGGGGCGAGAGGTCGAGCTGGTCGCGGGGGCAGCCGGGCTGGAAGGAGAAGCGCTGCAGGAGGACGGTCAGGAAGAGGAAGAGCTCCATGCGCGCCAAGGCCTCGCCCAGGCACAGCCGCTTCCCTGCGGGGCAGAGGGGAGGGCAGAGGGGCGGCTGAGCGGGGCCAAGCGGCCGCCCCCCCCCCCCCCGCGGGGGCGCCCCCCAGGCCCAGGCGGGGCCCCCGCCTCCTCCTCCTCCCCGCCACTCACCCGCCGAGAAGGGCATGAAGGCGTTGGAGCGGCGGAAGGCGCCCTCCTCGTCCAGGAAGTGCCCGGGGTCGAACCTGTCGGGCTCCTTGAACTGGGTGGGGTCTTGGTGCACGGAGTGGAAGAAAGTCAGGACGTTGGTGCCCTGGAGGGAAGGCAGGAAGGGAAGGCGGTGGGCGGCGGAGCTATTTCCTGGGTAGGAAAGGCCTCCTCCTGCCTCCGCTCTCCTCGTCCCCTGGGGAGCAGAGGGCAGGTGGCCCCCTTGGCTTGGGGCCTCCGTTGTTTAGTTTTATTTGGTTGGTCAATTGCTTCCAAGATAATAATAGGTATCAGTAAAAACATAGTTATGAATACATGGATACATATAAGAAGAAGAAAAAAAGAAACAATAGGACAGGGACGGTAGGCACATTGGTGCGCTTATGCACGCCCCCCCCCCACCTAGGAAAGGGGTGAGGCCAATAGGAGACAGTCTAAGGTGAAAGGTTTTGGGGTTTGGGTCATTTCCGCAGTCATGGCTGGCAGCAGGTGGTAGAAGAAAAGGGCATGGAGCTGTGGGAAGGGCAGGCAGCCACAGCCAAGTTGGCAGCCGCGTGCAGAAGACCCGTCCTGGGGAAAGGCACATATATTCAGACAAAGACTGTCCAAACTCTACTAGGCATAAGGCAAGGAAAGAATCACTGAAAAATGTGTAAGTAGGAAAGTCAGACTCACATTAACTTAGAGGAAATATGTGTGAAAATGAATATTAAATTTTGCAGACCTGTTTTGAAAATGGCTATGGTGGACTTGCAATTAAAGCTACAGATGTTTGTTTAAATGAGTATTAAACAAAAGTTAACCAAATATTGTTTGTCCTTTATTCAGTCACATCTGATTCTCAGAGACTGCTTGGACAAGTCCCTTCCATTTTCTTGGCAAGGTTTTCAAATTGGTTTGTCCTTCCCTCCCTCCCTCCCTCCCTCCCTCCCTAGGGCCATGGAGAAAGTGAATCATTCAGGGTCACCCAGCTGGCTCTAAGCCCAAGGCAGGATTAGAACTCGGCTCTCCCAGTTTCTAGCCAGTGTCTTAACTGCTACACTGAGCTGACTCTGCAGATTTTTTTTTGTTGACTTAACAAATGAATATGGCCACCCATTTACCAAAAGGAACTCTGGGTGGTGAACAAGAATGTTTAAAATAACCAAAAACACAAAATTATTAGCTAATAAAAATCATTTAAAACAGTCCCACAAAGAAACCCAGTAACAGCATGCAGGCGCCAATAAAATTTGCATCCATCAAACAACCGCCATCAGTGTCAAAGAGACAGGTGCGAAACCAGAAAGCTGCCCTGATCCCACCCAATTCACTGCCCCCCTGTGCCCTGCAGAGAGGATCACTCAACCCACGCAGACACCCCCCAGGAGAAAGCAGCTGGCATCTCTGCCAAGGGGAGAACTGCAGCCAGGCCTGGATAAAGCCCGCGGACAGACCCCAGACCCCACGGCCTGCTCTGGCCTGCTGCCCCCAGGTACCTCCGGAAAGAAGAAGCCCCGGAAATGGGTGTCCTTGGTCAGGGCGTGCGGGATGCCCATGGGGATGATGTCTGCAAACCTCTGGACCTCGTGGATCACGGCATCCGTGTAGGGCATCCTCGCCCGGTCAGCAACGGAGGGGAGGCGCTCGGGGCCAATGACCTTCGCAATCTCCTCCTGCACCTTGGCTGGAGACAGGGGGGGGGGTGAGTTCTCCACCCGACTGCTTTGGGGGCCCTGGTCCCTCCCTCCACCCGCACAGTGCCCAGGGAGAAGCTCTGCCCAGTGGGGTCCCCACACTGGCCTCTCTCCTTGCTGCCCCGTTTTCCTAAATGGTGCCCGCTGGGCAAAGCCAGAGAGGGGCCACCTTTGCCAGCTTCGGGCACTTGGAGGGCACGGCTGGCGACCGCCCCGCGGGCCGGGGGGGGGGGGGGGGGCTCCTCTCAGCCTCACCAGCCACTTCGGGGAACTTCATGAGGATGAGGATGGCGTAGCGGAGGGTGGTGCTGATGGTCTCGGTGCCCGCAAAGAAGAGGTTGTGGGTAGTCATGATCAAAGTGTCGGTGTGGAAGAAGCTGCAAGGGTCTTCCTTCTCCTGCAGGCACAGGGGTGCCCGGGGTGTGTGTGAGCCTGTGGGACCACAAGGGCTGCCGCCTCCCCTGCCGGGCCAGGCCATCCTTTTCAGGGTGGGAGGGGCTCCACCCAGGAGGGCTGCAGAAGGTGCAAGCAGGGACTGCCTTGGGGGGGGGGGGGGGGGGGGGGGAGATTTTCCCTGCAGCTCTAAGAGCCGATGTCCCCCGGATGGGAGGTTGCACCTGGGCTGCCAGTGAGCCACATCTGGCCGCTAAGTCCCCACCAGCTATGGCTCTTCCCTGCCCTGCTGGTGGGGGAGGAGGAGGACAGGTAAGCCTCCTCTTTAGCCCCCTCCCTTTCAGAGGCAGCCGGGAGCCCGTTGCTGTCTCTCCCCTTCCTCAAATTGCACCCTTGCAGGGACCACCGCTCTGCATTTGACAGGCAGCAGCCTTGCCCTTCCTCTGCCATGGAAGCCCTGCAGGGGACTACAAAGCCCATTCTCACCTGCTGCATCTTCAGGAGGAAGCAGTCTATAAAGTCGCGTGGGCAGCTGGGGTCCAGGCTGGCCTGGTGGGCCTTGACCATCTCCCTCACCAGGACCCGCAGCTTCTCAAAGTTGGCAAATATACGGTTGTGTGGTCCAGGCAGGTAATACATGATGTGAGGGAAAATGTTGTACATCTAGAAAGAACCATCCGGGATGGGAAATGGAGACCGCCAAAGGCGGGGGAGGTGAGTGGGAAGTGGGAGGCATTCGGGCCAGTCCCTGTTGGGGCAAAGGACACCAAGACCCCCTCCCAACCACACGACCCCAACCTTCTCCAGCAGAGCTTCCCCTCAGAGTTAGGGCTTCAGGAGGCTCAGCCAACACAAGGGGGCCGCTCCCTTCTTCAGCCCGGAGTCATGGAGAGGAGAAAGCGAGGGGGGCACAGGGGTCTCCCCCTCGTCTTGAATGTGCTTTGAGACAGGCCAGCAAGGCCCAGATCCAGACGGAGACCTGAACCAAAGGTTGCCTTGGCCTCACTTTCGTGGCATCGTCCCAAAGGGGCTTTTTCAAAAGGTAGCTGGGGTTTGCATTCTCCTGAAGTTGTTTCACTTCTCATCCAAGAAGCTTCTTCAGTTCTGTCGGGGGTCCATTTGTGCCCTCAGGGTCCCTGAATCAGAGGGAACCTGGGAGTGGAACCTTTTTGGCACTGCTGAAAGGACGGTGTCTTGTCCCTCCCCTTCGGTCGAGGGAGGGCTGTTCTTAGTCTTAATGGAGGTGGCCTCTTTGAGCACCTTTGGGCTGATGCCATGAAAGGGATGCCGGAGGCTGAGGAGAGATCAGGGCCCTGATGAAAGACGGTGGTGGTAGAAGCTGCCGGTGGTAGAAGCTCCACAGGGGGGCCTGGTGGGAAAGAGGGGCGGTGGAGGGGCTGCTGCTTCCTGCCCTGCCCCCAAACAGACGCTCACCTGGGCACAAGGAGAGCTGAAGAGGCGGAAGTTGTCGTTGATCAGCCCAATGAAGGTCAGGAAATGCTGGTCCTCGTAGTCAAACCGATCTCCAAAGACGATGGAGCAAATGATGTTGGAGACCGAGCAGCCCAGCAGGAACGTGGGGTCAAAGGGCTCTGGAGCGCCAAAAGCGAAAGGCCTGAGGGGCTGAGGGGCAGGCTACCCAGCGAGCCCCCCCCCCCCCCCGGTGGGGTCTTCTTCTACACGGGGTGGGGGGGGGAGTAGGCAGTGGAGTACCCCAAGGCTCTGTCTTAGGCCCAGGACTCCTCAACATCTTCATCAACGATTTAGACAAGGGGGTAGAAGGGGAATGTCAAATTTACTGATGACACTAAACTGCCTGGAGCAGTCAACCCCACAGAAGGTGGGCTCAAGAGAAGATACAGAAGATTCTTGGTCACTTAAACATGAGTCAGCAGTGGGTGGCAGCTGCCTGCGCAATCCTGGGCTGCAGAGGAACAGAACTGAGATCACTTGAAGGGTGAATCCCACTCTAGGATGCCTTGGTGAAAAGGCCACACTTGGAATATTTTGGTTGCCACGATACAAAAAAGATGTTGAGGCTCTGGAAAAAGTGCAGGAAGAGCAACCAAGAGGATGAGGGGGCTGGAGACTGAAACATACAAAGAGCGGTTGTGGGAACTGGGCCTGGCTAGAGACAAGAAGGACCAGGGGAGACAGGACAGCAGACTTCCAATACTGGAGGGGCTGCCATAAAGAAGTGGGGGGGGGTCAACCTACCCTCCAAAGCACCTGAAAGCAGGACAAGAAGCAACGGGTGGAACTATTGAAGGAGAGAAGCAACCTGACAGGGAGGACAACTAGCCAGTGGAGTGGCTTCCCTCCAGAAGGGGCGGAGGCTCCATCACTGGAGGTTTTGAAATAGAGACTGGACAATCCTTTCTCTGAAATGGTGGGGGTGGGGGCAGACTAGGAGGCTCCGCTATTCTGTTAAAGGGGAAACTCTGTTTTCTCGTCCTGCTCTTCCACTTTGCTCTTATCCTCCTCCTCCTCATTATCCTCACCTGTGCTCTTTTACCCCCCCCCCTCCTGCCCCTCCTTCCTGGGACCAGGCGGAGCGTTCCCAGCGGGTGGCTAGATCCCTCCTTACCGATCAGCCTTCTTAAAGCCTGCAATTACCTGTCCTAAGCAGCTGCTGGAGCGAAGTCCCCCCCCACCCCAGGAAGTGAAGGCGCAGCTCAGCTGGCCAAAGTGCCCCCTGGGCCCCCCCCCCCCCCGCAGCCCCACGCACCTGTCCTCTTGGCCAGCTCCTTCACCAGGCACTGGGTCTCCTCCTGGATTCGCTCCTCAATGCTGCGCTTGCCCATCCCGAAGTCCCGCAAGGTCTGGATGGCAAAGCGCCTCAGGATCTTCCACTTCTCCCCGTTGGAGAAGGCGACGCCTGGATGGGGTGGGGGGGGGCAGAGGAATCAAAGCCCCAGCAGCAGAAACGGAGCAGCCGGAGGGTCACCAGGTGGACAGCTGGAGAGCACCCCATGTCCACAAGCAAGAAAGGGCCGGCTGCCCCTCCCTGGACTGGGATGGACACCCCCCCACACACACACACACACACTTGGTCCTGGAGAAAGGCTCGCCTGGCAACGGTCTGCTTGGAGCCTGCTGACCGCCCTCCTCCCCGCTCATCCTGGGGCAGCCCCCTTTGTGGGGAAGCTGATGGCCCAGCCTCCTCCTGCCAAGGAAAACCCCAAGGAAAGCTCTGCATCCAGCCAGGCTCACCGTTCCCCTGAGTGAATCGGAACAAGACCGGCATGTCTCCGCGGCCACTGAACTCCTCGCCTCGGTCCACCAGGGCCTCCTTCACCATCTGGTACCCACAGAGCACCACCACCGGCCGGGACCCCAAGTGGATGGTGAAGAGCGAGCCGTACTGCCTGCTGAGCTGGGGCACCCAAGGAGAGGAGGTCTTGGAGCGGGCAGTGCGATGCCTTGGCCCCTGCCGCCTTCCAGGACCCAGAAGCCCTCCGCCAGGCATCGCCACCCCAGCCGTTTCTCCCACGGGGTCCCCGATTGGAGGCGGAGGCTGAGCTTACCTGCAGCAGAGACTTGATCATGTTCTTGGTATCCAGGTGAGGCAGGTTGCCGATGATGGGCAAGGGCCGAGGTCCGGGAGGCAGGCGTGCCTTGGTGCCCCGTCGCCCTCCTCCTCCTCGGAGCAGCAGGAGGCAGGAAAGGCAGAGAGCCAGGAGGAGAAGTGTGGCTGCGCTGGCTTCCATGGTTGAAACCCTGGCTGGCCCGGCCAGGAGAAGGCTTGGACTGAGCCAGCGGGCACAGGTGCCTGCTTTTATGCCCTGGGTACAGGTACCAAGAGGAAGGCGTCTCCCCTCCTGGTAGAACCTGATCGCTCAGGGCGGCTCCGAAGGCAGGCTGGGCGTTGGAGTTGAGGTGGCTTTCAGGCTCTAATAGCCGCATCACCTGCTTGCGTAACACTTTCTCCCTGGGACCAGAGCGGCTGCCAGGCCACCCCCCACCTTGGGCCTCAGGGCAGAACATGCCCTGCACCCCACGGGCTCCTTGGGAGAATCGCCGGGCAGGGAGGCCCTTCCCACCTGCCGGCCACTGGGGACCCCCAAGCCAGTGGACTGGCCTGGGACAGCGGGGGAGGATGGGTGCCCATCGCTGCAGATGGTCCAGAGGCTGCTGGCAAAGCTTCCTGTCCCTTGTCTGTGTCAGGCGGTGCCCAGCAATGCCACCCAAGGCTTCTGCAGAAAAGCCTGAGATGCCAGGATCCTGCAGGGCCGCTGCAGAAGGAAAGTGGGCAGGGGGGTGGTCAGGAAGGTGAAAAGGATGAGTAGCCCCCCCCCCACTCGGAGCCCTTCCCAACTCCAAGGGCCTCCCCCGCGGGAGCAGTTTCAGCAAAGCGGCCCATCCGAGCACCTGTTGCAGAGCCTCTCTCTGCCCCCCAGCAGGAGACACCCAGCCGAGAGCAGAGCCCCCCTGGCTGTTCTACGCTGGCAATGGGGAGCTCTCTCCAAATGCCCAGCAACCCCTTTGGCTGCGCCAGTGTCCTGTTTTCTAACGTGGAGAGATCCAGGGCCGCAGCCGGCGCCTCCCAAGATGGGATATGGGAGAGGCTCTGGTGCAGGGGATTATCGGGCCGATACAAAAGCACCAGGATAAGGTTACAAGATCAGGTTTCCACCAACCTTGGCATCTCTGCCAACCCCACCCATGACCTCCTTTGCCCAGCACCAGGGAAGCGAAGGGAGGGCTCAAATGCCAAGCAGGTTCTTGGAACACAGCAGGATGAGAAATCTGCCACCCTGGGCTGCCCAGTCCCTGACCCCCCACCCGCCAAGGCTCAGCTCCCTTAGTGGCTCCTGCTGCAGGCACCGGGCAGAGGGAAAAGCAACTCCCTCCTCCAGGACTTGGATGGGGGGGGGAGGGGTTGGAGGTCTCCTCTATGCGCCCCAGGGGGGGGGGGGTTCTGTCCAAAAGCTATTGCAAATCTTGAGAAAACAGCCGTGTCTGATTGCTGACATTCGCAGCCAAGGGCACAGGGGCCACTTCTGGCTGAGAGGGACACCCCGCCCCCGGGCTTCCTTCTCCCTTTGTCGTTCCCCCCCCCCCCGCCCACCAAAAGCAAGAGATCAGGCCCACACCCCTCATCTTGTGGCCGATCTTCCCACAATAACAGGGGGGTCGCCTTCTTAGCAAAGGATGTTTTGGGCTGCAGAGGTGGATGCCCAGAAACCTGGGAGCTGCCCGGTTCCTTGTCCAGGCAGGGATCTCTCTGCATTCCCCGGCCTGCAGCCCTCCCCTCTGCCCTCCCTGCAACAGAGCCAGGGATTAAAAAGCCAGCCTGGCTGCTGCTGTTGGTCCTGCATGCTCCAGCTGCCCTGAAGAGGCTTCCCTAGAGAAAGGCCCCCCACACCCCCTTTGGCCTGTTTGGGCACTTCCTGCCTCTTAGGGGGGGTCTCAGTGATCCTTGGGTGGCAAGGTAGAGAGGTGTGGATTTCGACTCCCAACATTCCCCGGCCCAACCCAGCCCCCCCCCCCCCAAGCCGGAGGCCCTGAAGACCCCCTGGGGGCCTGGCCCCCCCCCCCCCCCCGCCTCCCCCGCTTCCGGCTGTGTGAGGGGGGAGAGGTTGGGGGGAGGCGCAGACCCAGTTTGGCCCAAAATGGTCGCTGACACCCCCCACCCCCCAAAGTCCCACACCTGCTTTTCAGGCACATTGCGAGTTTCCACCTCACCTGGTGTCCCTGGAGGATGCAGAGCTGAGGGGGGGAGGGGAGGCAGTTCTTCTGGCCCTCCAAATTTCCTGCCCTGGGGGTGTGTGTGCCACAAGGGGTCCCAGCCAAGTCAGCTCAAGGGCACCACCTGCTGGCCACCTCCTTGCCTGCACCCTTCATTTCTGGCTGCTCCCCAAATCACACCTCTCCCCCCCCCCATCCCCATGGACCCTCTGGAGGCCTCACAGGACAAGGAAGGAGAGAAGCGCTCAGAAGAGCAGCCCCCAATTCCACGAGGGAGGGTCTTGCCCTGGGGCTGGCAAGGCAGGCATGGGAGACGCTGCCCACCAGAAACAGACCAGGCTGACGTGGGAACAGAGCCAGCAATGGGGCATCCTGAGTGCACAGCAGTCATGGGAACGCAGCTGGGGCACCTCAAACTGGGTTGCGTGTCAAGCCCCCCCGTCTCCCCAAGAGATCAGCCAGGAGCGTTTCCAAATGAGGTATCTTTATTCCACAGCCCCACCCCTCTCTGTCTCCTCGTCCACAAAGGGGCAGCAGCAGGAGGGGGCTGCCAGGGGGTTCCCCATAGCACCCCATGTGCAAAGTGGAGCTGCATTTACGGACTGGCCAGAGCACAGCTGCACATCATAGGGCAAAGCCCACACATCCCAGCACGTAGGTAGGGTTCCTCTCTGCAGCCCAGGACCCCTCTTTCCCCCAAGACCCCCTCCCTGCATTGGGGTGTCCCAGCCCAGCCGTGGCAGCATCCTCAGGCAGCTGGGAGGGCCTTGCCAGCCAGGTTCCCACGGCAACGTCTTCCACCCGTCACGTGGGGCCGTCAGTCCCCGAAGAGGCTCCTTCCTTCCTAGCAGAAGCTGCAGGGGGGAGGGGAAGAGAGGGGTTACCCTCCAGGTGCCCCCCGCCCTTTCCCCCAAGCTGCCCCCCACTGCTTTGCCTCCTTTTCCTGCTCCTTTCCTGGCTCCCAAAAGCCAAAGGACCCTCAAGGGGGCAGCAGCCTGTTCGCTCTCTCCTGGCCGGCCACCATCAGCCAAGCCCCTCTGGACAACAGTCTGTGGAGCTTCCAAAGCTGCCCCTGCCCCACAGCTAACTGGGCTAGCCATTCCCAGGGAAAGACCCTCCCGTGCTGCGGGCAGAGGACTCCAGGGCCCAGGCTACGGGGGGCATCCCCACGGCACCTCCGCTCAAAGGTCGCCCCTTCCCCTCTTACCCCGTTGGTGTGCCTCCTTGGCTCTGGCCCGCTCCTTGGCATCGAAGTACCAGACCGTGATGGCATACCTGGGCAGGTGGGCAGAAGGCAGGTCAGGCGGCAGCTGGGACTGGGGGAGGGGTTGAGAGAGCTGGCATGGCCTGGGATCTGATGGGGGCAGCCTCTCCAGGACAAGCCGCTCAGCAATCTCCCATCGGTGCTTCTTAGCACACACACACACACACACACACCCGCGCTGCCCCAGCCTTTCTCAGCAGGAGCCCAGAAGCCTCTGGCTGCAGCCCCCCTGGGGGAAGGGAGAGGGATCTTCTGTTCCAGCCCAGGGACCCGGGTGTCGTCTGGCTTGGCATCCCCGTCCTCCGGTCTCTTGGAGGGTGCTGCCTCTGGGCTTCCCTGCCTCTTTCCTGGGGGGCAGCTGGCCCTGAAGCCTTCCTCTTCATGAGGCGGGGGCTCCATCTGGCTACCCCCCATTGCCAAAGTGTCACTCTGCATGTCTGGGGGGAGGTGATTCATTTGCAGGCCCGGGGTGGTTCTTGCCCCAGGCCCTTCCCTCCAGCCGGTCCCCGTCACCTGGTAGCGAAGGCCGGCTTCACTTGGTGTGGGTTGCGCTGGTCGGACCAGAAGATCAGCAGCCGGTCAAAGATGGGATCGATGTTGGCCACGACCGAGCGGCCCTCTGGGAAGATCTGCAGGAGGCCCCCGTGCACCTGGGGGAGAGGGGGCCAAGGAGGGCCCTTCAGTCTGGGGGCATGGAGGCCGGGGGCATTGGAAGGGCAGCCCCTCGTCCCGGGGCTGGGTGACACCCGATCCTGGCCTCTGTCCGAGAGCCCAGCCCTTCAGCCCCCAACTGCCTTCGAGGGGAGCCCTCCACTCTTCGCAGCCTTCTAGGAGCATGGAAACCTCCCCCTTCCGCGGGGGCTTCAACCTTCCTGCTCTCCAAGACTGGCGACTCCGGTCCCTTTCCCCCCCTTTGCCCTGAAATGCCAGCGGAGCCTCAGTCTCGGCCCTGGCTGCTCTGAGCTGCCCCCGAAGGCCAGGAGTTGCCCCCTTGCCCCCTCCTCCCGCCCCTCCCGCCACCCCCTACCTTGCTGTCCCACTTCCGGTTCAGGTAGTAGATGCAGGTGACGCAGCGCCCGTCTCCGTGGGGGTTGTCCACATGCCGCACGTAGCCCAGGCCATTGCCAGGGTAACATGCCACCATGGCCTGGGAGGCAGGAGGGGAAGGGGGACGACTGAGCAGCTGGCAAATCCACTAGGCTTGCCCCCCAGAAGCCCCCTGCCCCTCTGGCCAGCTGCTTTGGCACAAATGACCGGGCCTCATAGCCCAGACCACCCTGGTAAGGCACTCCACAAGAGGCGGGGGGGGGCAAATGCCAGGGCATGGATCTTCTGCCCCCATCAAACAGGTGCCGGGGACAAATCCTGCAGCCCCGCTGGTCTCACATACCCTCACTGCAGGCACCCCAGGAGGCCAGGCCAGGCCAGATGCCCTCCTTTCCGAGAGGAGCCCCTCCCCCACCACACACCGAGACTCCCTTCCCCTCCTTCAAGCCCAAGGCGGGCAAAGGCTGGACTCGGCTCTTGCTCAGAGGCAGGAGCTATTGAGAGGCATCCCCATCATGAATTGTGGTTCATCTGAACACTGGCGGGTGGGGGAGGGGGGAAGCCCCACTGTGAGAGGGATGCAGTGGGCTGGCAGCACCCCCCCCCAGCCAGGGCTCCGCCCCCCCCCCCCCCCCCGCCCCCCCCCCCCCCCCCCGGGCAGCCGACAGGAGGGACCCTCTCCCCACGCAGGGCTGGAGCAGCCTGTTCTCAGGAAGAGCCAGGACATCCAGTCCCCCCAGTGAGGCGGGACTTGCTCCCTCCCAGCTGGGCGGCTGCCAGCCACGTGGTGGATGTTCCCTGCAGGGTCACCCGAGGACAGGGGGGAGGAGATGCCAACTCAGGGAGCCTTTGGACTGGGCTGCAAAAGGAGGCGAAGGCAGGGCTGGTTGCCCACCTCTGAGACTCCTCTTACCCCTTCAAGGATGGGGGCACTTTGGCCAGGGTCCCTCTGGGCGCAGGCTGGCAAGACTAGCAAAAGGGAGGGGGCCTCCTCTGAGGGGCCCCACAGGCACCTAAAGTCAGGGAGGGCTGGCAGACAATTGACTGGTACCCACACAACATGGCGGGGCTCATTCCAAGCCTGGCCGATGCGCCCCACAGCCCCCCTCACCCCCCCTCCCTTCAGGGCTCAGCCCAACCAAGGGGAGAGGGGGAGGGTCAGAGATGCTTATTTGCCTTCTTGACCCGAAATCTAGGAGGGCTACTCCCATCCCCCCATCCTCCACGGCTACCTGTCCTGCCCCAGGTAATAAGAGGGCATCCCTCCCTCCCAGGACACCGAGCCCGGGAAGCAGAGGCCCAAGGAAGAGCCAAAAGCCCCCAGGCCTTTCTTGGGGAGGGTCGTTTTTGGTCTTGGGCCGCCTGCCCAGCTCCAAGCCCCTTCCAGCAGCAGCGGCAGCAGAGATCCCGCCCCCAGGTTAAAGCCAATGGCTTTTAGCGCCCTCCGGAGGGAGGGGACACACAGGATCACCGGAGACCAGATCCCGCGGCCTTCTCCCCCACCCTTGCGTCTGCCCGAGGGGCTGAGCCCGGGCAGCGGCCCTTCCAGCCGGCGCTCGCTCACCTTCGTCCGGCCGTTGATCTCGTAGCCGCCCAGCTGCCCGGCGCACTGCAGGATGAGCTCGTCCAGGCGGGCCATGAGGGCGCCGATGGCTCGGCAGCCGGGCTCCCGGCCCTCCACCCAGGCGACCTGGTCCCCGCGGATGCGGCGGGCGGGCCCCGCTCTGCGAAGCGCCAGCTGCCCGTCCTGGAACTTGCCGCCGCGGTGCAGTCCCTCCACTTGCGCCAGGATCTGCCCGCCCAGCGCCTCCCCGAGGAAGGCGTCCTTCACGCAGAGGCCGTAGCGAGCCAGGCAGGGCACCACGTAGTCCCGAGCCAGCCGGCCGACGGGCCCGCGCCGGAGGGTGCCGGGCTCTCCCCGCGGCCGCCGCTCGGCCGAGCCCTCCGCCTCCGAGGCCCGCGCCTCCGGGCAGGGCCGCTTCAGCTCCCGGGTCAGGGCCAGCCAAAGGAGGCCCCGGACGGCCACCCCTTTGCCCGCCTGCCTGCCCTGGCCCGGGAGCAGCCCTACGGCAGGGCCCGCCGGGCGGGGGGCCTCCATCTCAGGCGCGGAGGGCGGGGGGCGCGGGCCGGCAGCATCTTGCAGTCGCCAGGGCGGCCCAGCGCGGAGCCCAGGGGTCGCCGAGCAGCGGGAGGGGCCGGGCCCGGTTGCCTGCGGGAGGGAGAGGAGGGGCTGAGCTCCCAAGGGCCCCGAGCGGACTCAGCGCGGCCAACGCCCCGCATCCCCGGGAAGGAAGGAAGGGAGCCAGCGGGGGAAGAGACGGTCCCAGTCAGGCCCCCGAGCGCAGGTCCCAACCTCCCCGGCCTGCGGCAGAGGCTGCCGGGACCGCGACCCCACAAACGGCGGAGAGCTGCGGGAGGGCAGCGGGAGATCCCGGCGGGACGGGCCGCTGTCCTGCGGGCCAACCGGGGCACGAAGCGGCTCCGCGAGGTCCCTCCTCCGCTGTCCTGCGAGCCGGCGGGGCCGGCCCCTTCGAGCCAGCCGCGCTCTGCTCAGCGCCCCCCAGGCGCTTCTCACCTGCGCTGGAGCCGCCGCTTGTGCTGCCGGGCTCTGGACAAGCGCCACCCGGGCAGCCTCCTCGCGGGAGCCCCGGGAGCGAGCCGCCCCTGGTGCCGCCGCCGCCACACGGGGCCCGCGCTCGGCCCTCCGAGCAGAGGAAGCGGAAACGGAGCGCGCGGGGGTCGCTCGGGCCGCCGGTGGCGCGGCTCCTCGGTCCCGCGCGCGCGGCGCTTGGTTTTCTGGCCGGAGCCGCTTTTCTTCCGGGAGCTCCGCAGAGCGACTCCCCGGCGTAGCCGATGGGAGCCTCTTCTGGAGCGCGGAAAGCCGAAGGGCCCGGCCCGGCGTTCTCCCGCGACCGGGACCCCCGCGTTTTTTCCCCCGCGGCAGCTCCGAGCAGACCCGGCGCCTCTTTCCAGCCAACGGAGGTGGAGGCCCGGGGCGGTGGAGCCGAGGCAGAGGGGCAGCCCCAGCGCTTCTCCCAGCTCGATCCGGCCAAACGCTCCCTCTCCAGCGTCCCCCCCGCCGCCCGGTAGGTTTTCGGAGGAGGAGTTGTTCCTCCGGGATGGACAAAATGTTCTCACACACACACAAGGCCAAGGGAAGCCAAAACGGCCAGCTTGGGTCGGCCATCAGAGGCTTCCGGGGCACAGCCGGTGAGCAAACCTCGGGGGGAGGGGGGGGTGCGGCAGAGGAACTTGGGTGGTACCGGTACCAAGCACCCAAGGCAAAAGAACTCACCGACGCTTCCCAAGTGGGCACCAGCAAGGAAGCTGCGCAGGCCCAGGCATGCCATTCCCCATAGAGACCATTTCCCTCCTTTCCAGGAATTATTTGTCTTGATTTCCCAAAAGGCTGGAAAACCAAATCATTGGGGG